TGTAGCTGGGTCCATAGGAATTCCAGATAAGGACCGTTGATTGTTGTTTTCGTTTACAAGTGCTTACCTTTCTGGTTTCTTTTTGTAATTCCGAATACTGACATGGATCGCTGTGTGCAGGACGCCACTCTCTCTACACTCTTAACTGCCTTGTTGCTAATCTCAACTGGTAACTCGTAATCAGATTTTTCTTGTATATTCACTAATACAAGGATCAAATCCTGAATGCCTTCAACGGCAAACTAGCAATTTAGATTAAACGTTCCATTCGACATGCTCTCTCTCTCTCTCTCTCTCTCTCTCTCTCTCTCTCTCCAAAGAAAGAAATGGTTGTAAGTTGTAACCATTTGATTCTGCTGCATTATATAATTTTTCCTGAATAAAAGATAGAGCCACCTTAACTACTTGAACTCGTCATTCCTCGAACCAAATAGAGGTTCTGTGTTGCTAGACCTCACCTTCTAAAGCAGCTTAAGGACGCATACAAACACCTTTGTTATAAGGGAGACCATGCCGAAGCCTGGGATGTTTGTTGCCCGAGCTGACTCCTTTCGATTTTTACCAACGGCAATCCGAAGTCCGAGGAACCTGAGACGGAATTTCTCCAGGCCATTGAGTGAAACTATATCCTACAATACGACATAATAATAATGTCTTAACACAATGGCTATTTTAAAGTGCAAATAACAGCTCGTATAAATTTAATATTGAAAACATACTAGCTTTAGCAACAAATTTAAACGACCGAAACCGTCAAACAATTAATATTTTTACTACTCAATAAATAAATTTGATCAAAGAAAGGGTAACTGTCTACATAATCTTCTAACTCAAATATTGGAAACATTAATGCTAGTTTGTAATATATAACATTTCACCCAAAAAAAGATTATGAATGTTATATAGTTCTCTCTTTTCTCTCTCTCTATAATAACAATAATTATCATTTTTTTTTAATAAACGATATTATCTACATCAAAAGGAAGGAGGTGGGCTTAACCTCACAATATGCTAGCAATAATATGATGTACAATAACTATCATTCTGTACACAATATATAATCCACATCGTAATACAAGCAAGGGCCGACCCATGACTGGTGCGACCAAAGAGGGCCCAGAAAAATAAAGGGCCTCTTTTATATATCCAAAGCCCATTAAGTCAATATTAAGTTCTTTTTTCTTGTCTTATGACCAAGAATTTTTAGTTCATAGTCTTGTATGTTCGAATGAAGGGAGTCCACATCCCTTTTAAGCTATTTAGCCGTTTGCTTGGTTCTTTATTGATTTTAATGATAACATACCCATTAAACTAACCAGAACCAGATGCAAATGAGACTAGGAAAACAGGTGAATATGACTTGAATACATACTGGAAAATGCATTATGTAATAGATCTACAAATGTAAATACAAACACAAGGAAGTCGGGCAAGATTTCACCTTGTCTGTCAAGGTTGAACTTCTTGCAGCCACTTCTCTTTGAGTTTACAAAGGTTTGTATGCTGGAAAGGGATGGATGGTAAACAGGTTTACACAAGGAATCAATATTACGCCACTGAGGGACATATTAGAGCTTTTAACTAGAGAAATATAGGTTTTCTAAGGAGATCTAAACAAGAGATAGCTTGTTGCTAAAAAATATGAGATATGGGCTGATTATAGCTTTTGGATGCAAATCTGGCTTGAGAGTAGAGTTTGTATATTTGTTTGTTTGATTGGTTGAGTGCCCTTGTCTCTGGGGCCTCTTCCTCCTTTTATAGACCAATTAGCCCGACTGCTGTGACCTTACTCTTGCCCGAAAGCATTTGGAGGGTAGTGACTCATCATCTTTTTACTTGTATTGCCAATAAAAAGTGTTTTTTAGCTGATTGTGAGTTAGTTTTCATCACTTAGCATTTAAATCATAGACACATGGTCTATGCATTAATGGGGAGGAGCCAATTTATCTCTGGGCTTGGTGCTGGGCTTCGAGCAAGTCTTCTTTTAATTGGCATCTCTGGACTTCTTCACACTTGCGGCCCAATGTTCAAATATTAAACCAAGCAAAATGTGTTTGATACCATGTTTCCTGGCCTTCAACATTAAGCTTCTGAAGAATTTGAATTTATGTTCCATACCAAATCTGGCTTGCAACCTGCTTTCACTTGATGAAAAGCAGCTGCATCCTGGAGAAAACAAGTCTTTGCTGCTCCAGCCATATCTGGCTTTTGCCGGTCATCAAAACGGTGTCTTGCCATTGCTGAGCAACAAGTATTCAAAAACAGACTTTGAATCCGATTATTCCCTTCCAAAAAAAAAAAAAAAAACATGCAATATGCATGTATGTCAATATGAAGAAGATTACATTTGTTGAGAAGGTTGTAAATGTATGCCCAGACTGTAATGGTGTCATGAACAATAGGATGTATCATGTCAAATTAACATAACAGCAGCAACCATTAGTATTGGAGGAGTGTATGTATTTAAGCATCCATTATACTCCATCACCGATGATCTACAGATCCGACCCCTAACCCATAACTTCCTTGTCAGCTTAAGTAGTTGCTGTTATTACTTATGCAGATGATTGGACATGGTACGTCCTGTCGTCCATGGGATCGTTGCAGTCTCGGCATGCATTTCCAACCTTCCAACCAATGTATTTTTTTTTTCAATATTGTCATACATGCATGTTGTATATGTAGAGTGGTTTTCTTTTCAATGGAATAATCTGATTCGAAGTCAGTTTCCGAATATCGTTTCTCAGCAACGACAAAGCACGGTTTTAAGGATCGACATAAATCGAATGTGGCTGGAGCAGCACATACTTGTTTACTTCTGGTCATTAAGCGAATAAAGGTCGCAAGACAGATTTTGTATGGAGCCCACATCTAGATTCTGGAGATGCCCAATGTGTAAGGCCAGGAATCCAAACATGGTATCAAACCATATTTTTTCAGCTTCTGCAAAGATCATCTTGTTAGCATTTTTGTCAACGAATAGTTTGATGTTGCACCTAAAAGGGTAAGCTTTGAGTCGAATACAGCTGATGCTTGCTCCACAACTTAGGGCTGAAAAATTATGAATACAAAATTGAAACATAAACATGAAGGAAGCACAAAGATTGGGCTATTGCATAATGAATATAAACATGAACACAGAGAAATCAAGCTGTTGCATTGTAATTTTGTTTCTACAAGTAGTAGTGGAGAACAAGACAAAATTCCGCAAAAGCATACATAAAATACAAACTTAAACGCAAAAGTTACATCATTGTATTTTCTTGAGATTTTGATTGATAAAAAGAGTTCTATTAATAGATTATTAAGTATAGATTATAATTTTTTTTACTTTTTAATTTCTTTGTAGTTATGCACATTCTGCGTGTGCTCCATCTAGTGCAATATTACTAAGGGAGTCATAACGAAACACTCCTGGTACTGTTCATTTTTAACGTTAAGAACATTTTTACTCTAAAAAGTCACTCATGATACTATTCACTTACAACACCTTTTTGTCATTTTGGTAAAACTCAAAGTTTTCAAACACTTTTCATTAGTTTTCCTTATTACTAAATCATACGATGAAACACAAGTATATTATTAGAAGTTGCTTATGAGCTCTTATTACAAAAATTATGTGGAATAATTGGGAATTCTTAGCATTATCTCGTCTATGTTGCAGTCAATATATTTGAAGTTTAGTTTTGGTGAGATATATCTTCTCATTAAACCTTGGTGAACCCTAGGATACTTTGCTGGAGCTAAAAACCAAATCATAATCTAACAATATCGAAGTTGTGTTTGTAGTCTTTCCTCGTTTCTTATTTTCGTTAGGGATGAGTTTATGATGACTATTTTGGAGTGTGAATAACAAGCTCCCTTAATTTATCATCGAAGAGACACAGCATTTGACCAACGAAAGGGTAACTGTCTAGATATTCTTGTAACTCAAAGGTTGGACACATTAATGCTACTGTAGGAGTTGGAATTGCTCAAGCATCCTTAATCCTTAATGAAGCAAAGCTTAGTTCTCTCTTGTCCTCGCTTGTTTTTGAAAGAGGTCATGGCGTCCTCAACACCCTTCTTAAGGGTTCTAAAGTGTATGTGTGTTTGTCACAAGATCCCGTCATTGCATTAAACCCAAAGGAACTCGAAGTTAAGAGAGCTTGGCTTCCCTAATGATTTTGTGTTTGGAGTGTCTACTGCAGCAGCACAGATAGAAGGATCAGCAAAATCAGCAGGAAAAGGACCGGGTGTTTGGGACACGTTTGTTAACAATTCCATGTAAACCTTCTCCTAGCACATGCTACTGTCTCTAGACTCTACAGAAACAAGTACCAGAAAACACAAGGTGGACAAATTGTAGTATGCTTGTAGGACAATACGTCGAGCCCTTTTCAGACTCAGCAGAAGACAAAGCTGCATCAAAGAGAATTTTGGACTTTGAACGTGGATTGTATGGAGCCATTAGTATATGGTACATGGAGTCGTTTACAAAATTAAAAAAAAAAAAAAAATAGCTTTCCAGTTGCTTCTTTTTGAACTTCACACATCTATCATAGAACGGGGAGGTGAACAAGCAAAAGCCTAGATGCTTTTGTTGAGAGTATCAAGTCCACGTCGGGGAGAGGAGGGACCTTGCATATGCTTATAAGTAGTTGGGCTACTCTCTATATTGCAATTAGTTTTACGATTGAATCTCAACTTTCTAGTGTGATTTTGATTATGAACGTCAAGCTTTGAAAACAAATAGTTCTATAATTAATTTGGTAACCCTCTGCCTTCTTGTCCATAATCGAGGTCCTTCAGTTCTGAATCTTCTGATAAAATCAAATGAGTCATTTATTAATTAACACTCCGCCATCGTAACCGTTTCGTTCTGAAAAAGCCGTGCTCGCATGAGCTTGAAGTTGAAATGGTTTAATTCCAAAGCCTATAAATTGATAGGTCTGTCTAAGGCTTAGAAATTATATCGCATGCCCTTATATATCCTCCTCTACCGTCCTTATATTGTATCAATGGCAACCACCAATACCACCAGTGTGAGTTTGAAGCTTTTGATCGATACGAAGGGTCACAAGGTTCTGTTTGCTGAAGCGATAAAGGAAGTTGTAGATTTTCTTTTCACTTTCTTGACTTTTCTCGTTGCCACTGTCATTATGCTCCTCTCGAAGAATGACATAGTTGGTTGCTTAGGCCAACTTTGTGAGAGTGTTGAAAACCTTAGTGATGCATACTTGCAACCCAATTTTGACAAAGACGCCCTTCTCAAACCCAATGGCACAGTTGCTGGTGCTAATATCTTTCATTTACTGACCAGCAGCAATGACTGTAATCCAAAACAGTTGTACATTTGTACCGGTTTCAATCGCTGTATTTGTGATGTGTCTGGAACAACATGTCCACAGTGCCCACATGGTGGTTCTGGTAATTATAGAGCCATTTCCACCCCCGTTACTTATGTTGACCCGCAAGCACGTACTAGTACCAACGCAGCAACAACGTTGTCCGTTGAGGGAGGGTATGTGAAGGGTGTTGGTACACATATGATCATGGACAATTTAGAGGTGAATCGCATGTCTACTATTTCTAGTATTACTGTGCTTAAGATGTTCAATATTAAGGAAGTCGGTGTTCCTGAAGAGAAGATGGTTAATCTTGGCATGGTGGAGGTCTGAATTCCTATATATTTCTTTTGGAAAATGCAAGAGAGATCATGTTTTTAGACCATATTTGTTGACTACATGATATAACGGTTGATGGTTGGATTTATTTTTTAAATTTGAAAAAGAAAGTCAACATCAACCGTCATATGATGTGTTATACAAAATCAAATTCAACTGGCTAGTGTCTTTAGCATCACTCATTTCTTTCTCTTCACTTTTTCTTTAGTTTTTTTTTCCCTATCAACTACTTTTCTTTAGTCATGTCTTATTTTATTCTTTCGTAAATGATTATACTCGGCTCTACTATATGCTGTCTTTTTTGTTGTATTTTTAGGGATTGAAGCTCTTGAAGGCGTCATTGGAGTCCAACACTGTTATCTTATCACCAATGTGTTTCTTGGTAAAAAGAAGACATAAATATTTGAGATTGTTGTTGCTATAGAAAATTAGCAACGGTGTTTTTGTGAGGTTTCTTTACTTTGATTTAAATACCTTAAATAAAATGAGTGTCCTTAATTGGACTAGTTAAGCTAGAAGAGTGGGTTTACATTTAAGGTTGCACATGATTCTCCAACATATTACTGACCTAAATTTTTTGTATAGTAAGAAAATTTTACGTAAATGTTTTGAATAATTTAGAGCAACTTCAATCCCTAACAATTGTTTTAGTTAATCAGGTTACTTAAGTGTTTGGCACATTGAAAGCTTAACCATTATTGAACTTCGATCTAACAACCATGTCTTCAGGTTCTAGAACCTAGAGGTCGGTCGTGATCGCTCGAACACAAAAGTCAGCCACGCGTTTGACACCACTATCACATCTATCTTACTCGCCGACTGAGCTCGGTTGCGAATTGGCACATCCGCATTCACTAGAAATGATGTAGCTAGCTCATAAATACTCGGCCTTTAGGGTCAACAATAAATATATTAGTAGAACAATCAGTTTTTATTTGACTATGTGTATTAGTTTGATGAAACTCAACCACTGTGTATCAGTGATATATTGATAAATTGGTGGATTCAAAATTTTTTTTTTTTAGTATATTTGAATTGGGTAAATATTCTGGTTGGTTTTGGTATTATCCATACGGATCCCATTTTTTCGGTGTTCTTCATCAGATGTTTTGATTTTATGAAGTAAATGTCGGGTTACTAAAGCAAAAAGTTTTGGTGAGTAATTGGTCGATCGTTTCGGTTTTTATAGTAGAAAATGATAGACCTAAATGGGGACTATGTAGCTAGCAACACCAAATCATAATAGCAATCTTCTGACGATGCCAAATATTGTTTTTGGACTAGTAGCTTTGGAGGTTGACATACTGTATCAGTGAGTGGAGGAAGATGTTACTAGTTGCCAAAACTATACCTTGTTGGAGAGGTTGACACAGGTCCTCTATGCATACTTCTTTTTGTGATAGCTATCAGATGATAATTAATTGGAGTTAATTACAAGTTATCATGTCTGTTTTGGGAATAAGATCATATGTTAATTGTAAATGGGGACTTGCAGTGAGTGCTCAGATCGAGACGCATGCCAGCTAAAACCAACGCATGACCCTAATGAAACAGTGTTGTTAATTTCCCAAACCCTACTTAATCGTAAATTACCCGTCTGTTCCGGTTCCCTTTATGTTTTTACATAATTTCCAAACGTTTACAATTCTCCTCTTCTTAATATATATACCTTGTTAGAGTCTGCTTGCCCTCCTCACTGCATGTGTGAAAATGGCTAACTCCGAGTCAACTGTTAGTTTGAAACTCCTAGTTGATTCAAAGCGTCACAAAGTTTTGTTTGCCGAAGCAGGCAAAGACTTTGTGGATTTTCTTTTCACTCTTCTATCGTTGCCTGTAGGGACTGTGATTAGGCTCCTCGCCAAGCATGGCATGGTTGGTAGCTTAGGGAAACTCTACGAGAGTGTTGAGACTCTGAGTGACACATACATGCAACCCAACCTTGACAAGGACACTCTGCTGAAACCCAAGCCAGCGATTGGAGGTACCGATGTCCTTCACTTATTGGCCGGCGATGAAGCAACTAGAAAGGTCTACATGTGTCGCAACTACCACCGCTATGTAGCTGATGATTCTCGAGCCATTTGTCCCTCGTGCAACTCCGCTATGTCAACAGAAGTGCCTCATGTAGCACCGCAGGTTGCTTCTGGAAGTTCCTCCGGCGAGGGTGGTGGTTATGTGAAAGGTCTTGTCACATACATGATAATGGATAACTTGGAAGTGAAGCCCATGTCTACCATTTCAGGCATTACAGTGCTGAACAAGTTCAATGTTAAGGACGTTGGGGCCCTTGAAGAGAAGGTGGTTCATCTTGGCATGCAAGAGGTTTGACACTTTCAACAAAATTTTCTATCAACTTTGTGATGTCAATTTATCAAATAATAAATCTGGATATTTTTAGTATGCCAATAAAAAATGATCAATGTTGTGTTTCTTTTTGTAGGGTATAAGTCTGCTGAAGGCATCTCTCCAGTCAAACTATGTTCTCACCAGTGTTTTTCTGGGTAAGAAAGTGGCGTGAAAATTTGGCTTTTCACCTGAAGTGGGAACTGAAGATTGCTTTTGAAGTTGGTTTTGAGTTGATTTGTTTTCCTGCATTGTTACTTTGAATCTAGTTGATGTAATTGCACTCATGGATTAATTTGGATTTCATCAACGATCTTTTTGGACTTTATCACTACTGGTTTTTTGCATCTTTGTTAATTAAGTTGGAATCTTCTAACTTAAATTGGGAAGTCAAATATAAACAAGAAATCGGTTGTAAAAGCCCTAATCAACAACAAAACCAACAAAGAATTTGTTTCACCTTTTTTTTTTTTAGTACAACGATATATTTTACATTAACGAGATGAAAAGTTCGGCTAAGTCTTACAATGGGCAATCTAATTTGATATCGAATTTGTTTCAATTTTGAAATCAAAGAATGAAATATGTTAATTTGACTAGATAAACTAAATTTCGAGTTTTGTAATCATGCCTTTTATACAAATTAACCCTAGCTAGTTTTAGTTTTTACGTCTCTTAGTCATTGTTCTTGTGGAAAATGGATTCTCTCCGGATCCATTCCTCCTAATGCACCAAATTAGAAGATTAGTGTCATTAAAATTTGATCCAATGGTTGAAGTTATTTTAACTTTTAAAGTAGGTCTCTGTTTGTAACCGTTTGATCAAATTTCAATGACATATATTCGTTAATTTGGTGGATTAGGAGGAAGGGATCCAGAGAGGATCCCTTTCCGTTCTTGTGCAACAAACAAGTAAACTGCATTCTTTTGTTCCCTTGATCACTCATTGCACATGCAAGGGTTTTATTTTATTTTTTATTCTATAAACAAATGTTACATATCACATTTTGTAGACAATATTTTTACCTCTTTTCTGATAAAAGGCTAGTGATTAATTGGTACAAAAGTAGAGAATGGAAAGGGATTCTCTTCGGATCCCTTTCTCTCAATCCACCAAATTAGGAAATTCGTATATTAGAAAATGGATTCAACGGTTGAAGTTATTATAACTTTTAATGTAGGCCCCTATTTGTAGCCATTAGATCAAATTTCAATGACACGGATTCCCTAATTTGGTAAATTAGGAGAAAGAGATCTGGAGATGATCCCTTTCCTTTTAGAATTACACTGTCTATCATGCCCAACAAATAAAGAATTTGGATTTCATTGGGATCCAAATTGTGGGATCTTAGGAATTTTCGCATCTTAACCATTTATCGTGCATTGTATGATCATAAATTATTTAATTTTTTATTTAAAATTAAACACAAATAGCACCTGATAAAAATTGACTGCATGATGTACGATGAACGATTAGGATGTGGGGATCTCTAAGATCCCCACAACGTGGATCTAGAGATGATCATCTTCCACAAATAAATGGCAAATCCTATCAAAAAAGGAAAAAAAAAAAAAAAGGAACTTTAACGAAAAGCTCCTGATACTGTTCACTTTAACAAAAAATCACATTTTTACACTAAAAAGTCAATCCTGGTACTATTCACTTTACCCTTTATTTTGTCCTTATCATTAAAACTCAAAGTTTTCAAGCCATTTTCATTAGTTTTCCTAAAAAAAACAGGGAAGAGGATCCTCTTCAAATCCACTTTGTGGGATCTCTAACCGTTCATCGTACATAGTAAGATCAGTTTTTGTCAGATACTATTTGTGTTTAATTTTAAGTAAAAAATCAAATAATTTCTTATTATACGATATACCATGATGACTAAAATGTGAAGATATTTAGAATCCTCATAATTTGAATCAAGAAGGAATCCAAATCCAAAAATAAGGGCATGGGAAATTATTTATCGTTAATTCATTTTTGACTGAACGTGTCCTAAGAAAATACTAAATGTCTACAGGATAGGTGTACTTTGTACCATCCGGCATTCGGTGCGTATAGGCACATTTTTTATTAATTTATTAAATCTGATAAATAAAAATAAGAGGAACGTGAGAGGATAGAAGTATTAAATCAGCTGTAATGATTTAATTGAACTAAAAAAAAAATTATATGCATTCGAAAAGGAGTTTGATTATATAGTTCCTGTTCCCGTATTATTCATTTTCATTTTGTCTTTAATTTAGGTTCTTTATTCAATCTTTCACCAAATTTATATGCGTGAAAATGCTAGTATTTTTTCACTTGAATCTTCTCGATTTCTTTTTTTATATTCTACGATATTATTTTATGATCAAAACTATCTTTTTTTTTATATCATGCTTTGAATTCACGTTCATAAAAAATAACCAAATTAGAATTATTAGATTAACATTGTCAAGATTAATTGAGTTTTCTATTTATTGAAAATCGCTATATGACTAAATAATTTTGGATACACTTTTTTTTTTTATAATAATCTTTAATAAGTGATCTAAAAAGTAGACCATTTTGTTAAAAAAGAAAAAAAGACCATTTTAATTGTTTTTATTTTACTTTTTTTTTTAGTTCAAGTACAATATTTATTGAATGAGAGAAAATAGGGACAAGAAAAGATAATAGAATGCTAACAGCGGATCTCAATAAAAAATTTATCAAAAATTTTAGTCTTGCATGAAATTTGAACGCAAACAAAGGAAAAAAAGATTATTCCGCATCAAATTGTTAAATGAAAAAGAGAACTAGAAATGTATAGGGTTGGTTCCTGGTAGCATTTATCAATGATCGTTTTCGTGTCCAATGAGTAAACATATAGGCAACAAAAACATCATTTCGCTGAAAATTGAGAAGATCTTCCATCAGTCATCAAGGGCCGTGATCTACGAGTAGGTCTGTGTTCTCAGATCATAGACTTTTGACTTAATTGGCCTTAACAGCAGGTAAGGCTACCGCATTTTATGTGATTATCTCCTTCAGATTTCTTCACAAGAAATCAACCGGCAAGGGAAGAGAGGAGGAGGAGGAGGGGGGGTGTGGTTTATGGAAATCTCCCGTCCTTCAAAATTTTAGCAAATATTTGACCCTCTCGCTACACTTAGACATGTGTAAATTTAAAATCTTAACTGATTATCTATGAATTTAAATGTATTTCTTTTTAAAAAAATTAATTTTAATTTTGATTATATGCGATTTCAAAATTTTCTAAAATTATATTAAAAAATGATAATTGATTACACCTTAATTTTAAAGTTCACTAAAATTCTATCAAATTCTAGAGGTTGTTTTATTGGCATCTTATATTTTGTTGATTACATCCCACGTACTAAAAACACCTTACATCTACTTTTTAAATTACAAAATATCTTAATATATCGCACATTCTTTCCTAAGCTACCCTCACACCCTAAACTCCTTACATACACCCCACATCAAACCCGCGTATTGTCTTCACAAACTTGTTTCCTCCAGTTTTCTTTTCAATTTTCATATTAGTAACATATTTAATTCTTCAATCTTTCTTTTAGTCGAAATGAGTTTTCATTAAAGTAAAGACAAATGGACATAAGTCTCACCCAAACTGACTCGAGGGCAAAATGGTTTAATTCTTGTAGTTGAATGTATATAATATTAAAGTGGTGGAGTTTCACATTGAGTTTTCAAACTTTTGCGAAAAATCTGTTCATTCTTTTTTGGAAAAATAGTCATATTGCTTATGTGAGAGCGTAGAAGTAAATTATAAGCATTACTCTAAAAAGAACTTGAGGTGTATTTAAAATCTTCTTTTTAATTTTTAGAATATTTTAGAGCTTAAATAGTCATTTTATGAGCAATTTAATATTAAATTATTATGTGAAATGTAGTAAACAAAATATGAGGGGTTAATAAAAAATCCAATTCTAATCGCACTACAAATTCTCTTCCAATTGAATATCAATACAACACTGCATCATTACAGTACAGTGATCGGTACCCACAAAGGGTTATTACTTTTTCATTTTTCTCCGTGATATTTTCTATCAATCACATCCCACCTTGGGCACAATAAAATAAGAAAACTTCAGCAAAGCGAGGGTAATCAATCGTCATCACACAACCCCTCGTCAATGGCAACTTCCAATTTCAGTGTGAGCATCCAGCTTTTCATCGACACAAACCGTAAGAAAGTTTTGTTCGCAGAAGCCGGCAAAGACTTTGTCGACCTTCTATTCGGCCTCCTCTCTCTGAGCGATGGCGACGTCATTAAGTTGCTGTCCGGGCACGGCATGGTTCGATGTCTAGATAAAATTTACGGCAGCCTCGAAAACTTGAGTCCGAAATACACTCTCCCTAATCTCGACAAGAATATCTTGCTACTGCACCCTTGTGTGGAGGAAGGGTATGTGAGGGACTTCACATACATGGTCATGGATGATCTGGAAGTAAAGCCTTTGTCTACAGTTTCCATCCTCGACGTGCTTAACAAGTCCGATGTAAAGGATGTTGGTAAGCTTGATGTGGTGGTGGTTCATCTTGGCTGGCAAGAGGTCTGGATTTATAATTAGGGTTTCCTCATCTTCTCCTTTTATGTTTCTCTTAACTTTATGAATTATTTGATAATTAATGTCTTTGTTTTTGTGAATTAGGGTTTGGAATTGCTGAGAGGGTCGTTGTTATCGAACTCAAATCTCACTGGTTTGTTCCTTGGTGAAGAGGTTTGACAGTTTAACTAGTTTTCGAAGCGTCAATCTGAGAATCTGAGACTTATGTGAATGTGATGTTTGTTTTTTGTATTGGTGGCATCATGTTTTCCTTTCCATATGTGGTTGGATTTGCAGGTCCTACCGACTCTCCACCTTGTCAAATTAATGGGTAATGATGTATTAAGTAATTTGAGTTTCAGACTTCTTTTTTTTTGTCTGCGAAAAGTTTGAGATCTTTATTAGTTGCTTTTTTTACTTTCGAACTATGTAAAAAAAATTCTGAGATTAAGGTCTTGTAAAAGATTTGTTGAGCCTGTAAAAGATTTCAATGGGTGTTCTTATTACGCTCTTCCTTTCTAACTTTTTAGGAATAAGTGCAAAGGCCAATGCTATTTACTTTTTAGACAGCACTGGTTGACAATATGATTAGTAATTTTTAGGGACTAGCCTATAATACTTACAAATATGTAGTATAATTGTTTTTTAAAGGAGAGTTTTAAATAAACACATTTGGTACTGTCTATATTTAACAAAAAGTTACATTTTAATTTTTTTCTCGTACTATTCATTACATTTTTATTTGTAATTTTTTCACTAAAATTAAATTTTTTCTGAACTTTTCTTTAGTTTTTCTTTTTTTCAATCATAATAGTTCTTGGATGTCAATACAGTATATTTGACTGTCAAATGGTGATTGTTCTAAGTGCATGGAAATGTTGTGGTCAAATCTCATTGAATAAATGATATTATTGCAGAAGGGTGACGTTTGGTTATAAAATAAAGGGGTGTGCTATCTACACATTCCAAATTACTTGTCACACTACTCTTGTTAATTTTTGTCTGTTGATTTTCTTTAATTCATTCGATCCGACGATCGAAAATTAAAAAGATGTGTGAGAAGTAAAATGGGATGTTTGGATATCATCCCCCAAAATCAATTGAATATATGGACTCAACTACTTACAACAACAGATTCTTTTTTCTATGTAAGACTTTATACTCTTAACATAATCTCACTTATGACGAAATTTTAATCCTAATATATGCACGTGTGGCATTCACAAACTGAACAAGCAACTCTTATACTATAAAATAAGTTAAGGATATGCCATAAAAATCAATAAAGTATTTCAACTATTTATAAACATATACAAAGTTTGTTTTTATCTAATGTGGATTCATATTTTCAACATATCTTTTCATGTGTGATAAATACTTTAATCTAACAACAGACAAGAAAAAATTAATGGTGTGTAACATGTGGTTGTTAGACTTCATACTCTCAATATGTTCCATTACGTATGTCAAATACTCAGGCACTCCAATAGCTTAACATCTTTGGGAAGTATGGTGATCACTGTGACCAGTGTATATGTGACACACACTTCTTTTAACTTTTCACATTCTTAGTCATTTTTGTTCATGAATTTTTTTTCAATTTATTCAATTTGGTGTTTAAGAATTAAGATATTTGATAAATAAAAAATTGTGTGAATATAACCACCCATTCACATATTCTTGTTAACGAAAACGACGAACACCTTGTTCTCCACTTTCGAAATGTAGCCGGAAGCCACGACAGAGCAAGGTAGAGGGTAGAGTAGGATCGTTGAGTGAAGGCTGGACTTTAGAGAGAGAGAGAGATAAGGGTCAATGAGAGAGTGGGTGACTGAGTGCGTGACTGTTGTTGAGCAAGAATGAGGATCCTCTCGAGATCCCTCTTTGTGAAGATTCCGATCATTCTCAAATTATATCTGTTCATTGTAAATCGTGTGGTCAGAAATTATTTTAAATAATTTTATTTAAAATTAAATATAATTAGTATCTGACGAAATTAATCTCACGATATACAATAGACGAATATGATTTGAAGATCTTCGAAATCCTCGTAAAGAGAATCCGGAGTGAATGCTCATTCGTTGAGGAGGAACCCTAGAGAGGGACGTTACTGCTCCGTAGCAGTAAAGAATAACGGTAGTTTTAAAGTGGGCCTAGAGTTGAGCCCGCTTAAGTTTCATTTTTGGTGAAAGAGTCCATTGAAGCAAAAGGGTAGTTACAAATACAGAGAGAACCGACTTGCAGAGCAATTATATTTTCATCAACTTCTTCTCCACTCCAAAAAAAAAACTCTACACCCCCCTTACTCTGCTGCAAGCTTCCCTTCCTCTCTTGGTAAAACTCTATCTCTCTCTCTCTCTGTGCGAAGTTTTAGTTTAATTCTTCATGCTTTTTTATTCAAAAAAAGAAGAAGGAAATATTGACGAAGCTAGTTTCCCGAACTAAAAAATTGATCTGCATTATTTATCATATCATTAGGCTGCTTAGTTCAGAAAAAAAAGGTCACTGATTTCTTCAAACAAATAAGAATATATATATACAGATTGCTTAAGGGAAGGGATCCCCATTTTTTGAAAAAAATGGGAATTAGGTGTGGGGCCCACTCCACATCGAATTTCAACGATCCGAACCGTCTATTGTGTTAGTCTCGATTCATAGATCATCCTTGCAAAATATTAGCTAAATCGGAATTGTTTAAGACATCTAATTGGGTTCAAGGAAATGAACGAATACTTTGTTATATAAGAAAAAATGAAATTTGATCTTGATAATTAAATAGGCAAACGGTTTCGGATTGAATTAAATTTTTGCAAGGATGATCTATGAATCGAGACTAACAAAATAGACGGTTCGGATCGTTGAAATTCGATGTGGAGTGGGCCCCACATCTAATCCCCATTTTTTTCAAAAAATGGGGATCCCTTCCCTTAAGCAATCTGTATATATATATATATGTGGGTATTTGATCACTCATATATTTCATGCATTTATACCATCCATTTCTAAAGTCTTTGTGATGTTTTTGTGTTAAAATTGTAGCATTTTATCTTACCTTGTGTTAATGTGCAGTTAATTTTGTTTTAGGATCAAAGAAATAAAAAAAAGAAAACAAAAGAAATAAAATAAGCAAAGGGGAGTGCAGCACTGGCAGGAAGAAAAAGAAAAGAAAAAATATATATATAAGAAGATGGAAGTGGAACAAAAAGCAGGAGAGGGAGTGAAGAAAAATAGAAGAATAAGAGGGAGTGGAAGGCAGAAAGCAGAGAGCACAGCAGAAAAGAAAAGGAAAAGAATAAGAAATGGGGGACACGGACAGAAGATGACAGAGAGGAGAGAGGAGCACGGAAGAAAAAGAATGAACTGAATGATAAGAGAGACAGGGGGGTGTCAGGAGAGAACCGACTAAGAAGGAAATATAAGAGGAAGAGAGACTGACGCGACAAGGGAGACGACGCAGAGAAGAGGAAGCAGGAAGAGACTGCAGCAGGCAGAGGAAAAGAAGTCAGGAGCAAACCAAAAACGGGTGTTTCCTTCTTGTTATTTTTTTATGGATAATTTCTTATGTATGAACATAATTATGTGTAACTAATTTTATTATGCTAGAGTGAGGTCATGAGCCGCAACATGAATACGTAGATTTATTTTCAATTGCTTCAGTATTGTTACATGCTTGCTTTGATATTTTCAATCACCGAATTAAACTATCTATGTACCTTGATGCTTGATCACCATTAGGATGTTTAGAAAAGTTATCGGATGCAATTTTGAACGAATGTCACGTTAAAATTGGTTGTGTTTCTTGTGATTGAGGATTGTATTCTCCTAAGGTAAATATCATGCTCTTAGGGATTATATGGTTTAACAAAAGAATTTTCACCAAGATTAATGAATCACTCATGTTTATATTTAATCCAAATGTCATGGATAAGTTGCATGTAGTGGTATGCGTTTTAGCTTGAATGTTACAAGTAAAACATACACAAGGAAAATCCAACCTTCAAAGCATGTGTGTTTTCAATTATTTAAGCAATTGGAATAGCTACGTAGGAGTGTTGTTGGTAAAGGTTGAACTCTAGCATATTGTCAATCTATTTTTCTTAAATCATTTATTTTATCTTGAATTTCCTTATTTACTTGTCTTGTTTAAAGTTGAATCATTATTCTTATAAATCAATTCCCATTTTAAATATTTGTTTAAGTCACATCTAATAATATTTAGTTTCGTCAAATTAGTGTAATTCTTAGAGTTAAATAAGTTAAATACACAAAAACTCGTAAATTGTTTATATCAGTCCCTGAGGAGATCGACCTTGCTTGAGCCATTCTATACTACAAACACTTGTTCTCTTGCAAGAATTTTCTATGGTTTAACCCTTTGTTTTACAAGTGGTAAAAACGCTATCAGTATTCTCTGAAATTAGTTGTTTTTTGTTGGGTTTAAGATGCATGCAATGTATAATATAAAGTGCGACCTCAAGCCAACAAGGCTTCTCGTTTTGTAAGGGTCGGGGAAAGTCTATCGTACGCGGCCTTACCTTTCTTTGCAAAGTGGCTGTTTTTACGACTCGAACTCGGAGTCTTTTTTGTCACAAAGGAGCAACCTTTTCGGTTCCTCCAAGAGTTGAGCCCCTTTAGGTTTGTATATCTGTACCAGCAAAAAAAAAATTAAAAGAATTACATTGTATTTCGGTTAATCTCTCATAAGTAAGAGTGTATGACTAAATGTGCTTCCTTTACCATTGGATTGTAGCAATAGCTCGGTTTATTTATGAATTTAAATATTTAGTTTATGCCTACAGGTCTTAATATTCTGAAATTCGATTTTAACTGCATCAATGGCAACCACCACTGTGAGCTTGAAGCTCTTGATTGATACAAAGGGCCACAGAGTTCTGTTTGCCGAAGCCGGCAAGGACTTTGTGGATTTCCTTTTCACCCTTCTGTCTCTGCCGGTTGGAACTGTCATTAGGCTCCTCTCTAAGGACAACATGGTTGGTAGCTTAGGCCGACTTTACGACAGTGTCGAAAATCTAAATGACACATACATGCTGCCCAATCTCAACAAGGACACTCTGCTGAAACCCACGTCCCCCATTGGCTGCGCTAATGTCCCACATTTGCTGACAAGTGATAGATCAACGGTAAAAAAGGTGTACATGTGTGGGAGCTACCACCGGTACGTGGCTGATGACCCTAGGGCCGTTTGTCCACAGTGCAGATCTGCTATATCTACCGAGGTGCCTTATGTTGCTGCTCCGGCTACCGCTAAAGGATCCTCTGGTGGCGGAGCAGGTTTTGTGAAAGATGTTGTGACATACATGATTATGGATAATTTGGAAGTGAAGCCGATGTCCACCATATCATGTATTGCTTTGCTCAACAAGTTCAACGTTAAGGAGGTTGGTGCCCTTGAAGAGAAGGTTGTTCATATGGGCATGGATGAGGTGTGAAATCCTAAATTTCTCTGCCATTTTTTAATGTGATTTTTCTACGCATCTTGAATTCAACATTTTAGCGTATTATTTCTGTTTTCATTGCCTTTCGTATTGAATGCATTGACATAAGCAGTCTGATTTTGTTCTTGAAAGACAGAGAAAACGGAATTTGTATCTCATATGATTGGTTTTAATGTTGTTTTATTGGAAAAGTTTGATGAAACTATGCCTTTCCAAACATACGTATTAATAGAAAACGCTACTTTTCATCTTTTAATCAATTAGTTTCTAAATCATTTCCACCTACGTTGAGAGAACTGCTTTACATTCCTGTTTCGATCTTTTAGCCTTTTCGTTTCTTTGCTTTTATGATTTGAATTGGGAGGCATGTCATAAGGTTAATGGATGTCTTGATCTCAATCAAGTAATGCACCTTCTACTCTACACACCTGATCAACAACGATAACCATCATACGTTTTTCTGTAGGCGTGTAATCTAGCTAATGTGCGCAGTTCTTGTGTTTTGTTCATCGAAAGTAGTGTTCTTTTCGCAAAATGATCATTTTCTTTTGAATAATTCTCAGGGGCTGAAACTGCTGAAGGCATCATTGGAATCAAACAATGTTCTCCAATGTCTTCCTTTGTGAGAAAGAGGAGTAAACACGTCAACTTTGCGCGTGGTCCAGAGCGTATATGGCGTTTTGGAGCTTAAACGAAGTAGTAGTGACGAAATATCTAGCTAAACCCTTTATATAATCAGTTGTAGATCGACTTAATCAACGTTACCGTGCTTCTTTTCACGGGGCGTTTTCTGTTAAGGTGGATAACCTTAGTTTGGCTAAAACCGCATTAGAAATTGCTGAAGTTGGGTGGCTATAACTCTCCACTATTGCATATCTAGACAGGTTCTTTGACTGATTTGGTACGCCTTTTCTTCTGTTGGATGAATCGTTTCTTCTTGTTTGTTACCTTCATACAAATATGCTGAAACTTAGAAACGTGCTAACTTCCAAATTTTGTTCGAGTTAGAAGATAGAACGTGAATTAATTAAGGGTTAAGTTCCTTTGTAGCTACTTCATGTTCTACCTTTGACTCGAACAAAATTTAGAGTTGGCATCCATTCTTCATTCAACATACGAAATGATCCTAGACGCCCAACGATGCTCTGTTATCGATTGAATTCTTCACAAAGAAGTTTCTTGTAAAATAATATGTTTCTATTCTCAAAGCTACTTGATATTTGTTATACATAATATGAGATAATATTAAACTTATTACCCTTGAGAGCAAGGGTGGATGTATATTGGGACCAAAGCGGTCTCAAGACCACTCAGAAATCAGGCATGTGAAGGTCATTTGGAGGTTCTTTGAAAGTTTGGTGTGGGTCCCATTTGTGCCACTTGGTGCTTAATGTAATGTCCATTTCTATCTAAGAAACTTGGACTTCTAACATTCAGACCTCAAAGTTTGAATCTTAAATCCGTCACTGTCTCAGAATATGAACAAATCTCATATTAGATCCTTAACCATTGCTGTTGTGTATCGCTGTGGTTAAGTTCGTATACAAACTGTCAAAACATTCGCCTCTTACATGTCAGAAACTTAGAGAAGCCAAGTAAGATCAATGACGTCGTTAGTTTTGACAAAATGTATTGACAGATTTGACGATGAAGAGAAAATACGCAAAAGATTGATCAAAAGGGAAAAGTGGATTATTAATTAT